GAGATAAACAGGTGAACATAATTATCAATGTAGGTATAAAGAATGTTTGTTAAAAATATATTTGAAAAGTTTGACAGTGTGGATGTTTAAAAACATAAACATAAATCAGTTCCCGTTTCTAGAAAGAGATTAATTCTAGCTTTTTTTTTGCAAAACTTATGAAAAGCATGGGTTTTCGAAACAAGATAATGACAGCAACTCAGGCCAGACAGCTACATAAACTGTTATACAGTTTGTAATAAAGATGGATACTATTTACTATTTTGTTCAACATTTTCCCATAAGAATTACATGCTTCAGTGCCTATCTATTTAAATTTTTAATACATTATTACTCTTATAAATTTTTTAAAGTGAATAAAGTACACACTGTTTCTCGTTCTGATCCATTTGCATCTAGGGTAATTCCTTATTTTAATTATTTGTTTAAAATTAGGAGAAAGTAATGGCAAACAATTTCATCGGAGAACAGCGAAGAAATGAAGATAATAATAATAATTTTCTCCATACCTATCATGCAAATTGCCTTTTTAAAACGAAATTTAAAAAGTAGTAGGGTTTACAAATAATGTGCCGTTTCTATGGTTACGTCGGGGCTGTAGTATTACTTACACGACCTAGAAATTAAAATTTTGAAATTTTACAGCATTTTACTTATGGAAATATAAAACGTACAATTTGACATGTTATTAACATTTAAAATGTTAGGAAACATAGATGGAGTGCGTGTTCGGCGGTAGTCTGCGCGACTGCGCCAGCGATGACGTAGCCATGACGAAGACGAACGTCACACTAATGGCTGGTAGGTTGTCCGCGCGCGGGTGTCTAAGTTCACTGTAATGTATATTTACTTGTGTTTGTATAATAAATATGTTAACTGTTGTTCGTGTTTTCGTTCCACGTGCCTCATATAACTAACATAAAACTGAAGAAAGGTTTTTGTCATTCAGATCCTTGGTCCCGTTATTTCCAATTAGTGGTTCTTTTTCCATGATGTTGTTACGAAAATTTTCTGCTGTATGAGCTAAACTGACGTCTTGAGTTTTGTGGTATAAAATTTTACTGGCTATGTCTATCTTATTCGCCAAAGATTCTGTTACATTTGATTTGGCAGTTGATGAGGAGTGCTACCCTCGGTATCTTTTTAGCTCAAGAACGTTCACTCCAGTGTCAGCCAGAAGAGTAGCTCAGGTTCTACGAAATGAGTGTCCTGTACAGGGTGAGTAAATAGCGGGACCCTGACCAAATTTCAATGCAACACAAAGTGCATATCTCATATGTAACTCTTTTTATATTTTATTTTTCCAAAATGTACTGTAGGAACAACCGTTTCCACAAAATTAGGTGTTCTATCTGAGCCCATTCATAATCTTTGTACAAATGTAAATACGTGCTATCTTTCGTCTACCTGACCTACGCTCCTACATACTTTCTCTTCCAGTTTCTAGAATTTTCTAAACTCTTTTTTTACCTACTTCCACCTCTTTGAAACCGAGCCTACCTGTCGACCATTCAAACACCTTTCGATCTTCTTCTCCCTGGCACTCTCAAACAGTAAGGAACTAAATAAAATCTGAAAACCGTAACCGTCGCTTTTTCTAAAAATCACCAACGATACCCACAGTACAAACATAATTACCTAGTAGTTAATTTTGACTTTTTAACTCTATTTGTCAATTTTGAGCTTCGATAAGTTTTTAGTCTTCGCGAGAAGATGAGGGTTAAATACGCGAACGATGAAAAGGTTGATAAGATTTATAGCACGACAGGTAGGAATCTCTCAATCTTCCGTTTCAAAAATTTTGAGAGCGAATAAGTTCCACCCCTACCACACATAGTAGATCTTGTACTAATGTCACAACATTAGTACAAGATCTAAAGGAAGAAGACTTTCCCAGAAGAATACAATTTTGCAATTTTATGCAACATCAACTCGAGTTGGACAACAATTTTTTATTCAAAGTTTTGTTCAGCCATGAATCAAGATTTGGCAATAACTGGGTTGCTAATCGGCACAACTGTCACTATTACTCCAAAAATAACCCACACTGGATCAGAACAGCTCATTTTCAAAATGTTTATTCCATAAATGTGTGGGCTGGTATTATTGCAGATTACGTAATTGGCCCATACTTCTTCGAAGGCAAGTTAACAGGACACAGGTATAGACAATTTTTGGAAAATGATTTTCCGGTGTTATTAGAAAATGTTCTTCTCAACCTCCGACAAGAGCTGTGCAGGACGGGGCACCACCTCATTATCACAGAGTCGTTAAGGACTATCTTAATGAGACGTTTGCAAATAGGTGGATTGGCAGAGGTGGTGTGAATGCTTGTAGTCCCGACTAACACCTTTAGATTTCTTCCTTTGGGGGTTTGTAAAAGAACAAGTTTACCAAAGTCCTATTCGTAATTGTGAAGATTTAAAAACCAGCATTATAAATGCATGTGCTGCTGAAGTTAGGCTTTTTGAACAGTACTTACTCGTGTACTTATAAATAATTATACCAGAAAAAGTGTATTGTTACTAATTACGTACCTTTTTCATCAGGTTAAGTATGGTCAGATGCTTCAGTTTTCTTTGGATGATGTCCCGTATTTTTACGTTTTAGGAATGCTTTTAATTTTGGATATTTAGAAATGTCGATATCTTCATTTAAACAAATAGTTGATTGTAACATGGAATATTCGCACCATAGACTTGCTGACGACTGATATTTCTTTGTTTAATCCAGAAAATACGCCAGGGGGACCGTTTCGGTACTTGAAATGTCCCCTTGTTTCGAATTACATAATTCCTGGACTGTCTTGTAAGCTGTTTCATACCGTTTTTTTTATTTCTCCGGAATAACCGAAGCACAAGCAAGATTCTATTTCCACATCCGTTGTAGACGATGGTACTTCAAAAAATACGGCGCACAATATGGGTTTAGAAAATTTCAAAGTTTTGATATTCAATTTGTGTCCATAGTAACAAAAAAAAAGCTTACTTGCTTTATTCGAAGATCCAATCGCGCAATTATTCTTGAAGGATTTGTTATTTTTTTTTTAAATTAGCTGCTTCAGGTATGGCAAAAAATACTGTATGCACCGTGGAATATTTAGTGTCTTTCGTGGTCTCGAAACGTTTAGAAAATCTCGGGCTTTGCGGCCCTTGATTTCCCAAATTTCATTTCTCGACCATAAAAGTGACACGTGGTATGTACATGATATACTTACTATGTAACGGTAATTCAAGGTAATAATAGTAACTACTACTTATACACCAGTTTTCTGTTAGTTTATATTTTTTGTTTTCTTATTTCCCAGTTATGATTTAGTCAATTAACTTATATCTTTAATTAAATTTTACTTTAATCTCTTGTGGATTATGTTTTTGATGAAATAAGCTCCTAAAAAATTCCACTTAATAAGCTGTTTATAATTTTCGAAGAATCGGTTTCTGTGGTAATATTGCTGGTAACTTTAAACCGCTTGTAACAATATGACGTTTGTTGTTTAGTTTTGCCAATTTAATTAAATACATATGAAGGGATCAAGTAAAGCTTATTTAATAATATGATTTACCCACAAAGCGAAACGTGCTTCCCTTCTGTGCTGTCATCATCAATCATGATATTCATAATCTTAAGAAAAGGGATTACGATTTTTTTAACTAGGTATTGCTTTCCCTATATATTGTTCCGTGCACCAGTATTAAAAAGATTAGTCACAAAAGTGATTTGTTAATGTCAAAATGAAAACAATTATTCTGACGAGTGTTGTGCTTTGTCTGTGTAGTACCATTTGGGTAACTATATCAGGTAATAAAACTAAAAGTATATTTGAATAAGCCAGATTGCATTTCAATATTGTAGAACCCGTGTCTGACTGTCCCGCAGTAGAAGGCCAATTTCCTACTTTCATCACTGATCGAAGTAACTGTAGTGTATTTTACATGTGTGCACATGGAATTCCCGTCTTGAAGGTGTGTCCTAATGGACTATTCTTTAATCCAGCGCTGGAGGTTTGTGATTGGCCTCAGAACGCAGGATGTGAACCAGAACTAGAAGAGTGTTTGGCAGGTTAACATGGATCTATATTTTCACTCTGTTTCTGCATCTTAAGCTTGTATTCGGTTAAACTTTTTGATTAAATATGATAACTTGTTAGAATATTCAAAAAAATAGGTTGTTTCACTAAAAATATCTCTCTGTCTGTGTGTCTGCTCCCTTAACATTGACTTATGCTCTAGGATTCGTAAATTTCGGCCGATTTAACAGAATATGATTAATGGTAAGTGGACAGTTACATTTTGAACACGTGAAGGAGTTGACCTCTCAAGAAGATAATTATTGTGCGTTACAACAGTGCGCCTAGTACTGCTACTCGGTGGGTTAGATTGGAGAAGATCTTTTGTTGTTATAGCAGCAGCAGTATGGAATTTGATAGTATGATGATATCCAAGTGTAGCTATATCTTTTCAATACTGCGAATGACACAGTGCGAAAGTACTCATATCGTAGAGGTAACTGTTTTCCTTAATTCTTGACGTTCGTAGAGAATTATTTGGAGTTCACATAGCACGTGATTTTTTGAGGTGATGTGTGTTGTATAGCTCGACGAGAACTGAGAAAATCAGTGCAAAAGAGGAGGGCATATACTTATTTCGGCATTGAAGGCGAAACTGTGTTATCACTGTGATGGTTGTAGGGGAGTAATGCGTATCTATTGGGCCGTATGAATAAAAAGAAGCAGTTGCTCGTGAGCATGAGTACGAAGTATGAGCACATGCTTAGAGTAAAAAGTACGAGTATGAGCACATACTTCAATCAGTATGAATAAACTAAACCTTTTACTTAAGAGCATTTGCTTCTTACTCTGGAGCAAACGCTCATATTCGTTATCTTCATAAAAACACTCATCGATAGCTTATTTCCTATAAGAACGACGACCATGAAGAGATTATTTAAAAAACCACAATTCGCTATCCATGATTTTCATTTAGTTCGGTTATAATCAGTGCATTGTATAGATGAGTTCGTCAAGTGGCTGTGAATCGCCGGGGTCCGGTGCTGGGAAAACTGCAAATTCCCAATTATTTATAGTCCGAGAAATCGAAAAACGACCTGAATTACTATCAAAATCTCAGTTACCAAATGAAAAAGCAAAAAAAGAAAAATCCTTACTGGAGGTGGTGGAATTGTATGAAGTCCACTTAGGGCTTCGCATCAGCCAACAACAGTTGAAGAAAAAAATTAACAATATGAAATCGCGGCTCAAGAAAAAGACCGACAAACAGAAGACCGGAAACAAACGCATTACTTTGCATGAGTGGGAGAAGATCTTGTATAAGATACTTGAAGGAGATGATAATCCAACAATCAACAAAATTCCGGGTAGGTACCTATCGCATCTGTGTTTAATACACAATATCTGGTTGACCGAGTTTCACTCGGCTCGTTTGGTAGTATTAGATCAGATTAGGACAGATAAATATGCGTATAGTATGCATTTTGAAGTACACGCGCTACTTAAAAATACACATTAAAAAAGAAATTCCATAAGCAGAAGCAGTCTTTGTTTTAAACACTGATAAGTGACATGTAGAGATTAAAGAACAGAAAACTGGAATTATTGTTTGACATCTCATTTGTTACCCAAATTTTCTCTGTCGTTTTTTTTTCCTAGTTCTCTCTCGACTCTAGAAAAAGGTCACAACCACATTCTTACTGCCAGAAGAGTTTCGCCTCTGGTGTGGTTAATATACTGAGTTACCGTGCTCTTTTGTGTTATTCCTAATTTCTCAATCTCAACCCTGCTCCCGAAGATGCCATTTACGAAAGTGTGCGAAACGTTGAGCCCAAAAACTCAAATAACACGGTCCCATCCCCGAAAACGATCACATGTTGACACTGACCGTGGAACCTCTGAAATGAATGCTTGACAAAATAATCTCAATTCAACACACTTTCGTGTGCCTTTTATCCGCTCACTGTTTAGTTTTTGGTAAATTTTCTCACCTCAGGAGGTGAATTTCAACGTCCTCTATACAGTGGAGTATGTTTCGGTACGTACAATTGAAGATAAAAAGGTACGTCAAACGTACTGTCAGACTGTCACCCAAACTTCTCATATAAAACAATCTCGTGTTCGTGTAGTGTCATCTGATGTTGCCTAGCAACAAATATAATTCATTGCCTGAAAATTGCTGAAAATGCATGAAGCTGTAATTTTCAGAAGTTAAAACTATGATCAATCGATTTCTTGACCCAAAAAACCCCTAACCTGTAAATTTCATCGAAATCGTTAGAGCCGTTTTCGAGAAACCCATTACATATATATATATATATATAAATATATACCGGGCATTTTTTTTTAAACTGAACATAGGCCTATGTTCAGTTTTAAAACGACGCTGTCAATGCAGGAACATTGTTGGTTGCATAACCACGAGAAATCATTTGAGTAAAGCAGAGCTTTTTCACCGAAACTACAGCGTGTTATGCACATGTTCAACAATAAACAAAACCATAAATACGACAAAAATTTTATAAAACAAAAACTAAATTTTATAACAAATATTCGAAATGACCGCCTCCCTGTTCCAAGCAATAACCAAGTCTGTGATGGAATCCTTGCACTGCATTTCGTACGAAATTTGGATTCAACTCTTGGCAAGCTCTGACTATTCGTTCCTGTAACTCCTGAATTGTTTGAATTTCTACGTGATCATAAATTGTATTATGTAGGTGTCCCCAGAGAAAAAAATCATTTGGCGAAAGATCTGGTGATCGTGCAGGCCAAGCTACAGGACCAAATCTGCCTATCCACCGTTCACCAAATACGTCATTTAAATAATTCGTAACTATTCTACACGAATGTGCTGGTGCACCATCCATCTGGAACCAAATATTCTCAATATTTAGTGGTTCAATTTCAGGAATAATATGGTCCCTTAAAAGTCTAAGAAATTTATTTGCATTTAAATTGCCATCAATAAAAAATGGTCCAATGAGCCTATTGTTTATTAAGCCAGCCCACACATTTAGTCTTTCTTGTACTTGATGGCGAATTAAATTTTGCACATGAGGATTTGTGCGGGCCCAGTATCTGTAATAAGAACATTTTGGCATAAATAGCATTGAATAATAAAATTGTAGAAAACTGACCGATAATTTTGTGAATTAACTTCGCCATTCCTACTAAATGATGCCTCGTCTGTAAACATAATGTTTTCTAAAAGTTGTTCATTAGTGTTCAGTGAGTAACATCAATTCACAAAAATCCGTCCTCCTAATTTTATCCTCTTCAGTGAGGTATTGATGATTCCTAAATTTATATGGTTTAAATCGACATTCCTTCAACACTTTTCGAATTGAGAATCTGGAAATACCGAAGTAGTTACTCATTTGCGTTATGGTTGATATTGGTTCCTCTTCAGCGTAGCATAATACGTTTAATTTCATCTCTTCGGTTAAAATGTGTCATCTCCTATTTCTTTGATGATGGCTATTGACGACACATCCTCTTGCATTAAAATTTTTAATTATGTTCCAAATTGTTGCCAGAGACGGAATTGGCCTTGTAGGGTACTGTATGGAAAATAAGTCCCTTACATTGCGCATGCTACTACCAGCTTGGTACCATTGCAGTATTTGAATTTTTTCTTGTGTTGAATACATTTTGTGTAAGCAGTTTTGACATTTTAGAAAACATTTCAAAGCATTCTATTTAATTCTACTTTTTTAAACGATGGAGTTGTTGTAATGTTGGTTGCATTACAGTTGCAATTGACTGCGTCGTTTTAAAACTGAACATAGGCATATGTTCAGTTTTAAAAAAAATGCCCGGTATATACAAACTTTGCTCGTTTAATAGTATTAGATAATATACCCTTTTACATAATAAACTCTATAATTCTATAAAATAACACTTTTTGTAGAACCTGCTGTAGCAGGTATGGCGAAAAGGGCACAAGAATGTGAGCCCAAACACAGAGAGGAAAAGAATTGTGAAAAGAGTAGACGTTCTCCCGAGCCCAAGAAGTCAAAACTTTACAACTACGAGACTGAGGAAACACACAGTTTAACCACAACGGAACTACAAAGACTTGTGTTGTTGGAGCAACTAAAAACCGCAAGGATGCAAAGAGAGTATATTTTGAAGAAAATGGAACGACTGGAATAAACTGACAGTGATAATATGTGTATTATACCAAATAAACGATATTTAACAATGCATATTCAACTCTTTTTGTTTGTTTTAATTAAGAAACGTCTTCTAATAAAGGTGACGTCTTGGGCGTTGCAAGTCGCTTGTACATTGATACTGGGCCATCCTTTTCTAGTGATATATTCATCCCCATGACGCCCTGGTTTTTCAATTCTAATATGGGTACAATCAATGACCCCAATAACCCCCGGAAAGTGATTGACATTTTGCCAGTCTTCTAAAGCCTGCAAAATATTTTGTTCAGTGTGAGGAAATTTGATCTATGATGAAACTTTTGCTGTGACCCTTGTTGTGACAAATGTAACTACTTTTGATACTGTCGATTGATGAACGCCTAATTCTTCTGCTATTCCTGACTGAAAACCGGAATTGGCCAAACACCTCAAAAAAATTTTCATTTTCATTTTTGGCGACTAAGCACCTCCCCTGGTTTCAGTACAATAATTTAAAAAGTAATCTGCTAACCAAGTAACATTTTCTGCAGAAAATCTGCAATACGTGCTATTAATCGTAATATACTTATAATGACAAATGTTCTACGCTTACCTATACAAGGTTTTACAGTCACCTATGTTGGTTTCCCTACGCTCCTTATAATGTTTAGTTTTTCGTAGAACAACCATATCTGCCATTTTCCGAAATACTGTTCCATCCAACAGAAGTTGCGTCTCCTTTATAGCAGACGCATCAATTTGTGAGCAAGTGCTCCATAATGTAAGTAAACGCTCTCTTTTATTCATATCATTTGCTCAAGTGTAAGCAGCTACTTCAAATTTAGAGCACTTGCTCAAGCTCCAACACCAAAGTATGAGCAAAACCGTTTGCTCACTGTTTTATTCATATATAGCGAAGGATATGCTCCAAAAACAACGAGTACGAGCAAATGCTCACTTTTAATCATACGGCCCATTGTCTTCAGATGTTTTGGAGGCGTCAGTTTAGATGTATCGTTGTATCGAAGAGGTGGTTAAACAGGACAATAAGAAATGCTTGTTGTACAACTGCAGTTGATTTGACCCCTTGGGGTATGTTAATAAATGTAGACCCAAGGAGGATGCGGTAATGTTCCATGGTTGGAAAGAAGTTATTGGTGTAGGAAATTTACGGATGATATTAAAAATGAAAGTGGGGTCGAAGAGGATGATAAAAAAAAAAATAAAAAAAGTTAAGAGTTTCCCGGTTGCTTTTTATGGATTAGTGGAGTAGGTGGTGTTGAATTGTTGTGATTTTAGTTTTGTATCACAGGAGTAGTTTTTGACGTTGAAGATGTCTTGTATTCAAGGCTTCAAGAGCGAATCTTAAGTCGGTTGTGATAACCCAAACAAATTTGGGTGATAATATATGTAAACATTTTTAAAAACCGCGACAATTTAAAAAATTGGCTTTGAACTGTGATCGCCACAAATTGGAGCCCTATGTTGTGACTATGTGTGTTTTTTATGGCGGAATGCGTTTAAATGCAAAGTAAGGTACCCTAAAGTTGGAAAAGTGCCCTTAAATTAAATACAAAATATGAAGGACACAAATCGCTTATTCCTTACATCCTGGCGAAAAAAAAAAGAAGTGCACTTCCCCCGTCGAGGTTATGGTTATCTCTCCTTTACAAAAAGGAGAGTTGGCAAATATTTTTGGACGGTAGTTGGCCATGTCTATCTATTCTATATTTATTTATTTTTCAAATGCCGAACATATACAGGGTGTTATTGAAACAAAATTGACAGTTCTTCGCGAAGTCTAAGAAGTCTGAAAAACTTATTTTGTGTTATCAAAATTATAAGGGGGAAAAACCCTTATCCAACCTTTTTAGACGCTACTGAAGGATAAATAGGTAAAATTAATTGATTTTAGTAAATCCTAACAACTGTAACAATAAAACTTTTGTCAACACTAAATGTTGCTATAGAAACGAGAGATGATCTTTTTATCAAAGGTGTATAACGAATTTGGACATAAATTTTAATAATTTTTATCTCTAAAAGGAAAACACTTTTACCTGAACTTTTTTTACCTTTCAATAACACGCTGTATAAACGAAAGACTTTACATAAACGTGGATTATGGTCCTAAGAAGCTCTGATGCAAGCAATGAAGGGCGTAAATGAAGGTCGAATGGCTGTGCGACGTACCTCTATTGAATATGACATTTCGAGTAAGACATTAGAACGAAGTTTAAAAACAAATCTTTCAAGTAAAAGTAGGTTGGGACCTAGCGGTCACATTGGTTTTAAGTTTGCTCAGAAATGCAAAATTTAACAACGATATCTGCGTAGGTAACTTTGGCCTCAACTATTTCTACGCAGGTACCCCGAGATTAGAATTCGTATATCGGAAAATGTATCAGTTCGCATGATCATTATCATAAGAAATACAAAGAGAACATCCAGAATAATCGGAAAGGTTCCAGAGAATTTGTGCTTCCGTGTCCAGTAGTTTTAATTATTTCTTGACAACTTATACCAACTTGTGAAAGTTCACCCACAGCTGTGGATCGATTTGAGTAGTTGGAAATCTTTACTTTTTTGGTGTCAATGCCAATGGCAGACGCAGCTGATTTGGTCCATTTTCCCAATTTATTTGGGCTTGCAATTTTTTCCGTTTTTCTGGGATGTTTTGAAGAATTTTGCGTGTTGCATTTCTGGGTTTTCGTGTCTGGTCAGATATGATACTTTTGAAAGGGTCTATATTTCGTCCAAATTCCTCACAATACATATTTCAGTTGGATGTGTTTTGCCGTTAAGTTTCAAATTATTTTGACCACAGCTTCTTTATATCATCTATCATCATTTTTTTTTGCTGTAATATTATCCTGTAATGAGTTGTAATCACTGTTAGATAATAAACGATTAATGTTATTATTGTTAATATTATTATCATCTAATTTACGCATGTTAAATGTCCAGTCTTCGAGAATTTTGGAAATATATATACCATCATTTTTTTTATTTTTGTTAAAACGTAACTTCGTTCGACAAAGAACTGTTCGAACTGACGAACTACCTATTTTTCTGTTTTCACAGTATTAGCTGGCTTATTTGATGAAATTGCTTGTTCAATTTCTTACTTAGAATTCTCGTCGGATCGATTCATTTTCTTTATACACAGAACTTGTTGAAAAGTTATCAAAATTTTAATTTGTCAACAACGAATACCTACCCTAGGCAGCATTAAGGCTTACTAAAAATTGGTGAAAATATAGACATTCTGAAAATCGCTAGATAGGTATTTTCGAGAAACACCGCACGTGACGAGGATTCATGCTACAATATATCGTAACTAAAGGAATTTAATTATTGCGATTGGTTTATAATGTTACTAAAGTTGTATAGTCTAATTAATCATTATCACGATCATTATTTATTAATATCTCAGAAGATTTTACTTATTGCAGTACATAGATCATGTCTGGGTAATGGTTAGACAGTGGCGTAACAATCAAAGTGCGGGCCTGTGTTCTACAACACTGTGGGGCCCCTAATGAACAGCGAAATAAAAATATTTAAAAATACGAGTATAATGAGTAAAGTATGAGTAGATTGCAATTAGGGCTTACGTTTTATTAAAATCATTCTATCTGAAACAATGAATTATAAAAACAAAATACAATAATTACCTGAATACATATAATTAAAATATACCACGTGTTTCTTTTATTTGATACAACCCCCGTAATTTTTTTATTTAAAAAAATAAACATATAGTTCTTTGACCAAATTTGTATCATTTTAAAAGATCACCTATGTGAATAAATGACATGAGTGTCAATTTTCCAAGCTACTAGATTGTCATCAATTAATATGAATTTTTCGTGTATGTATTTTATTTAATAATTTTTTAAGTATTGATTTTAGAAATATTGCTTGCCTTTGATTTTTAGAAAACATCCGTCTTTCCATTTATGAAAAAATATACCTAGTGTTCCATAAAAAAAAATAAAGTTAATGTCATTTCCGGTTCTACCGGAAATGATAATATAAATGTGAGGTTGCCATCACATAGATCTTTTAAAATAATACATTTGTTCAAAGAACTACAGGTTTATCTTTAAGAATAAAACAGTTACCGGGGTTGTATCAAATAAAAGAAACACCCTGTATACAATTATATGTAGGTACATATTAGAAACTAACCGACCCGGCAAACGCTGTTTTGGCATTTCTAATGAATATTTTGGTAGTTAAATAAAAAATTAAATTAAAATAAATACATATAAATATAATTAAATTAAATTATAAATTATACATAAAAATGTATCGTACCACAATGATTATATTCAACAGCCATCTTGCAACCCTATTGCGCATCTGTGGATGAAAGCAAAGATACTCATATCGTTATTAAAAAATGGGGGTTGGTGGTAGAAGGGTGAACATTTAGGGTTATATGTATTTTTTGATGCCAAATCTTAAAAAAATAAAAATAAAAAAATGTTGCCTAAAAAATAAAAAAAAAAAATTGGTGGGCCATCCTAAGGGGGTATAAAAAATAGTTTACTAGACCTACCGAATATGCACAAAAAATTTCATAAAAATCGATCAAGCCGTTTCCGAACAGTTTGGTTACAAACACTGTGACACCAGAATTTTATATTAGATTATTTTAGAACAAATTTCATTACCATAAATAAGGTTATACTGAGTCGACCTTGAAAGATAGACATATGCTGTCGCGGACTTTTTTTTAGAACTTTTAGAAGGGAGCAACTCCATCATATATGATTTTTATGTAACTTTAACCGCAGCGTAAGCAACGGAAGCTGTCAAAGGAATAATAAATAATATAATTTACGATATTTTTCATTATTGCTCCGCTCCTATTGATCCTAGAGTGATGTTATATGGTCTATAGCCTTTCTGCATAAATGGACTATTCAACACAAAAAGATTTTTTGAATTGGAACCAGTAGTTTCTGAGATTAGCGCCTTCAACAAAACAAACTCTTCAGCTTTTTAATATAAGTTAGTAAGTATAGAAATATAGATAAAAATACCCATTTTTTTTCTTAATCTCA